AGCTTGATTTCACTCTTATTGTGTCAAAAGGCAACATGTCTTTATAGCTCAGTGGGACAAAATTTTTTGCTCCAAGCTGTATGTCCTCACAGTACCAGTGGCATGAAGATGCAACCAAACTAGATTTAGGAAGCAGAGAAAAATGATTTGACAGAAGGAACCTGAAGCAAGAGAAACTCAGATAAGCAACTCAGGAACCTAAGGGGGAATAAGAGAATGGAAAGCTCTGGAAAAGACTCATATCTACTGATTTACACTGTATCATTAGAGACCATTTCTAAGCACCTCATAGCTTTATACAAATTTTTATTTCAAATACAGCTGTTTGGGTTTTTTTCACAAGGTATTATGTTAGAAGCAAAACAGTCAAATGTAAGCAACAACACATTCCAATTCTTTATCGAGCATTCTGAGTACTTCTAAAAATTAAATAGCAAAAATATTACCTGAACCATTTTTTCCCCTGAGCATAAGTGAATAACCCTCATTTCCCGGATAGAGGTTCACTACCAGACATGACAACGTCTCCTGCATAACCAGCTTCTCAAGTAAATTCACATTTCGCCTCAGCTTCTGCTTTAAAAGTAAACATTGCTCATGAACATAATACTATAAAGCAATTAGTAGAAATAAAAACAACTGCTAGAACATGAGTACTATTTAGATTAATGTTGAAGTATATATCTAAACAAGCACAGTTAAATTTAATTGGATTATATTCAGCAGAGTATATTCATTAAGTATTATTATATGTACTTATACACACAATTAAAAAAAAAAACCTAATTTAAACTAACAAAACTCAAACACATGAATTACAAGTCCACAGACAACACAGTTAACAAGAACAACCCTATGCTACAATGTTGTAAATTTACGGAAGTTATAAAAATATAGTGCACTATAAGTATCATTTATACACTTTACATTGTTTGATAACAACAAGAAGCTATTTAGTACTTTCAAATATTTGTAACAGCAGCAGATATTTCTTTCCAGGATTCAAATACTGAATTACAGCATTTGGAAGCTTTCTTAATTGCATTGCCTTGTCTGTATTTGCTGAAATCTCATTCAGCAGCTGCAGAGACTATTCCTTTATTTAATTGTAAGAACTATCTTGTTCATATATAACAGACATTTAAGATTAATTAATAAGTTTCAAAGACCTAGTATACTTCCTACAAATGTAAACATTTCTAAAGCCCCCTTAGAACAATGAATTCTAAATCTCAGAATTTTACACCTTAAAGCTGGAAGCTAGATTTCATAGGCTGAACACAGGTCTGAGTGGAGCCATTCATTGGCAGTTAACTTTAGCACTCTACTAAGCCTTCGCAACTATCCATTTCATGTACATCCAAGTGGACTCTCCCTTTCTGAACATGTTTATATTTCCAGAGATACTGAGAAGACTGAAAACAGAATCATTACTTACAGGGGAATGAACTAAGAGAAAAGGACCAAAAACAAAACCCCAAATCCCACAGCAATACAATCCAACAGATAATTTTAACAGGTATGCAGAGAAAAAGGAGGAAAATATTTTCCATCTCCTGCTATGTAGTTTTGGAACCACTGCCCAAAGTTAACTCTTCTCCATGCGTCGTGT